TCCTGAAACTGCAGCCTCCGGTTGTGCAGGAACACCCTTCTCCCACTGTTGAGAATCATATGATAAGTGTTCATGTCTAAAAGCCTGAGTCAATACTATTCTTTTTTTTTTTCTTCAATATTGAATTACGGTGGCATTTGTTTAATCTGATTTTTTTTTTGCTCTTCAGTAATAGCTGAATGTCCGTCAATAAACCCAAAAGAGAGATCACTTCATGATGTTCATTAATCATGAGTTACAGACCGAAAACAATCTCATCTGCTATTTCAAGGTTTGATTCAGCAATGCACAAATGTTTGTTGTGAAACAATATTGCAATCGCTTAGAAGCAGATTATTTTGAATTCCTAAAAGGGTCAAGAGACAAACTAAAGCAAACCTTGACCACAATTATGGTGGCATCATGTTTTTTTTTTCTTTTCTTTTCTTTTCTTTTCTTGAGCAAAGTTAGTGATGAACACCTGCTGTTATTGAGAATTACAGAGGATCAGATGTTGATGTTTTACTGGTTAAAATGATGCCACCATCATGGAGATCAGTGTTTGCTTTAGTTGGGCTCTTGACCCTTTTAATAATTGAAAGTGGTTTGCTTTTAAACAATTACAATATTGCTTTACAACAAACATTTGTGCATTTGCACATTAAAAGCTTGAGGAAGCAGCTTACACGTTCTGCTTTTAAGTTACTTGAGTGACTGTTGTAAAGGTGTCTCGCTTTGGTTTACAGACTAACATTCAGCTGTTACAGAACAGAAAAAAAGTCCTATTAAATGAATGCCACCATAATACTTAAATATTGGAAAAAAAGAAGAATCATACTGCTCAGGCTTTTAGACATGAACTCTTATCATATGATCCTCAACAGTGGTGACAATAATTATTCATGCTGCAGTGCATGATGGGAGTTTTTACTATGGTGTTACCCAGCATGCATTGCAGCATGAAGCAGTTTGTTGATTGTCACCATTGTTGAGATTCATGTGCTGGTTCTTGATGTCTGTGTGTGTCTAAATAACTGAAGAATTCAAATATTTAAAATTAAAATTAATTCACTATAACTGTTAGAGTAACTCTTTCATTGCATGCTGTAGTTTAACAAGGTTGGTTAATCAAAACCAAAACACATATAAAAATAACAAAAAAAAACTAGCCTGGATGTAAACAGGTTGGCCCCTGATGATTACCTCATAATTTGAAAACAGTTAACAGCTATTCACTGCAAAGCACTGATCTCACTGTTTACTAACACCACATGCATTACTACAAAGAGAGATCTAAGACAAAAAGTAAAGGGTCAAGAGCCCAACTAAAGCAAACACTGATCTCCATGATGGTGCCATCATTTTAACCAATAAAACATCAACATCTGATCCTCTGTAATTCTCAATAACAGCAGGTGTTCATCACTAATGCACAATCATCATTTAATTAGTCACTTAATTATCTCATTAACTTTAACTCTTTGAGGACTTGGGATTTGACTCGAGACTCGTTTGTGACTTGAAAGGAATGACGTGGTTCCTCCTCTGGTGAAATCAGCTGCTGAGTTCATGGGTGGAATAAACATATGGCAGGACTTTTACTTTCTGACCCCTGGATTGTCCGCCTCTGATAAACATACTACAACTTTTTATTTTGCAATCATTTGCTTTTTATGGTCAATAACTACTCTCAACCTGTTGCATTTATTTCCTAAATGACAAATTATTCAGTTCAATAGCTTTTAAAGGGCTCTGTGGACTGTTACAGAACACGGTGGAATATGTTTATTTTAACCTAAAGAACACACTACAACTCTTCAGTGGGCAATTTGCTTTAAATTGGCAATTAAAACTCCCAATGTGTTTCATTGGTTTTCATAATTGACACATTACATGGTTCAATATCTCTGAAATAAACAGACCAATTCTTCCAGGACAAACTGTAAAATGTTAAGCTAAATTGAAAGAACATACTACAACTCTTTATTGTACGAGTTATTGCTTTCTATAGCTCATCATCAGTCTTAACTGACATAAAATAAAAAAATATTTAAATGAATGTAAACTGTTGCGAGAAAATCTGATGTGTGTAGATCTGTGCATTTGGTCTTAAAGTGACAGCAGATTTTATTATACCTGCTGCTGTCTGTGTCAACCTGTGTTAATGTTCATTAAATAAAAGAAAAAAGATCACTTGTATAGAACATTAATACAGTCTCTCCTTATGTATACTGTACATGTTTAAATTACTAAAATGATGTGCCATTAGCCTTGTGTGTTTATATGTTTAAGCATCTGCTGTTCTAAATGTTTGCAGTGTCTATCACACATATATCATCACACTTAAAGGGGTCAACCGATGCTACATGCACTTTTACAAGTTGTTTGAACTGAAATGTGTGTTGGCAGTGTGTGTACACAACCACCCTGTAATGATAAAAATCCATCCAGTGTTTTTTTTTATTTTTTTATCTACTACCCCCGATCTACATAAATGTGTCTATGTTCGCGCAAATCATTCGTGATCGAGTCTCATCTACAGAAGAAGTGAGTATAAGGTTTTTTAATGAATCTTAGCGAATCGCCTTTCCTAATAATGTGCTAATTAGCAAGTTTCAGATGAATGCGGCTAAAGTAAACAGTCTCTGTGAGAGCAGCTCGGAAGAGAGGGGCGGGGTCAGCAACGATAATTAACATTTAAAGGAAAATGCTACAAAACAGCTTGCTTTGAAAAGAGCTGCTTTTGACAGGGTAAAAAAAAGGTGTTTTTTACACTACCATTGAGAAATTTTAACCAAACTATGTTACAGACTTTTCATTCAATCATATCAACTTGTGGAAAATGGGCATCCGGTGACCCCTTTAAAAAGATCATGATCTGTAAGTCTTATTTCTTAGAAATCTCTATGCCCTTCATCATCATAGGCTATGAATCTTTATGTCTCCATAAGTCACTATTCACTTCCTTTACCTTCAGTCACCATAGAGAATGTATACAAGTACAAGAAATGTTTATAATTTCAATAAAAATACTAATGAAACATTATCTTTTGAATTGACAGCCCTACTTTTAAGATGAACAAGGGCAACAAAGGATAGATGGAGTTAGAGGCCAGATTTTATTCTCTCTCATGTCTAAGAGACAGAGCAGGAGCAGTGCGGTCGAGGGCATCCCACTCTGTAGGATTGTGATTCTCTTTCCCCGTCTGCAGTGTGTACTCTAGTTCACTGTAGTTAGGACACACATAGAGATTCCAGACGCCACTGAGCACCTTACATGAGCGGATTGCTTTTATACCACAGCAGTCCAAAGATGCACAGTCCTTCGTGATCAAGCGCTCATTCCCTTTAAATCCTTCCTCATCATAGACCAGAATCTTAACCTTGTAAATGAGAGAGAAACGAGAGGATGTTTTTATATATATATCTATATATACTGTATACTGTATATATATATATATATATATATATATATAAAGATGAGGAAATATGTGTAGACATCAAAACACGTTGATTACAAACAACATTATTTCATTATTTCATGATTTCTGTGTGACTTGTGTGTATGACAGTTCTGCAGCAGTGATAAACTGAACACTCACAATGAACAATGAACATACATAAACACTCACCATGCCAAGGCGCCACCATTTAAAGCACTCCTTAGCGTCCTTCTCCTCCTCGTCAGAGTTTTTTGTGTAGTAAACCCGACCAACATATTCAGTAAACTCCTCCAGCAGCAGACTGGAGACCTGTGATACATGTAAAATCAAACATAATATGTTGATCTGTAATTACAGATCTAGGAATCTTGCTTTGACTTACCCAGATTTACTAAATAAGTATTTACAGTATAGTATAATTGCTTTTGCCCCAGTAACAAGAAAACATGCCACTACATGTACAATTTCTGTAAAAAAAATTCTGACAGTGAAGGATAATTGTTAGCTCACAAACAACTATGCAATGAAAAAAAACACTGTTGCAAATGCATGATGGTTGATAATTTAGTGCTTGTGCAACTACTCAGTTAACTTCTGTCAGTAATTTGTTTCTGTGAATGTGTGATGTCAAGTAGCCCGTCAAAACAGGGACATTTATAACGTGATGGTCTGTATCATTACAAATATTTTCTTGACTCTAGACTGAATGATAAGGGTGATTTGTAATTCAAAAATAAAATTTGTAAATAATCGAATAACAAATTTGTAATAAAGCAGCACAGTGGTTTGTGTACCTCATATTTCTTAATCTTGAAGGCTTCAGTGGGGTTCCTCTTTCTGTAGAAATAGACATTGTTGATGGGATTTTCAGCCTCCTTGTAAGTGTTGTCCAGGTGAATAGTCTGTGCCAGATTTACAATATTACAGTGACTTAAAAGTGTTATATAAAGTGTAATATTGATAAAAATAAATCTATATCCAAATGGAAACGGAGTTTTGAACTTAACATACATCCACACTGAAATCCTTCTTATCCAAGAACACAGTTGGGTGAAGTTTGTTCCACTCGTCCACTGCTTTATTCCAGTCATCCTGAAGAAATGGGGATTGAAGTCAAACAAACAAGAACAATAAAATGAAGAAAAGCAGGACAAGAAAAAATAAATATAGAGAGAGTCATAGAAGATATTAAATCTAAATTGTAATTATATTGTACAGTCCGTCATAATGATTGACCAACTCATTCTCATCAGCAGAGGTGTAAAGTCCAGTAGTCTGAAAGTAAAAGTCCTGCCATATGTTTATTCCACCCATGAACTCCAGAGGAGGAACCAAGTCATTACAACTGACTTCAGCCACAGCCTTAGATTAATCAACTGAAAAAAAATAAAAAAAATAAAAAAAACACACACACAATGCCACCATAATTGTGATCAGTGTTTGCTTTAGTTGTACTCTTGAGCCTTTTAGTAGGTCCAAGTAGATTATTCTGAGAAACGGAAGTGGGTTTGCAGCTGAAGATAGTTTTTGAGAATTACATTGCGATTCGGAGAACGACGCTGGCGAATCCTAGGCTGGAGAATGGTTTGGCAACAGCTGATCTGTGATTGGAGGAGAGTGCATGGTAGGAAGATTCCAGAAGCGATTTGAAATGGAGAATGAAATGTTTGAAGTGGATGAAAGAGGGAATGGAAATACAGAATGGAGTATAGTAGAAAATCGGAAAAGAAAGACAAGCTGGAGTAATGCATCCAAAACTGACAGTGATAATGGAAATCATCTGACAAGGAAAGAAGAGTATAAGGTAGTGATGAAATTTGAAACCGGATCTTTCCTTGTCTTTAATCCGTTGAAGTTATCTAAAACAATTAAGGAAGTGATATGACTGATTGAAAGTGTTAAGAAGTTGAGGGATGGTAGATTGCTAATATATTGTAAGGATAGTAGGCAACAAAAAAGGCTCTAGCAGTTAAATCGATCATGGGACAAAGTGTGATTTGTTCAGTACAAGAAGAAAAGAAATGGGTTAAAAGAGTGGTAACAGGGATCCCCACAGATGTAACAGTTGAAAAGATTAAGAGAGGTCTTACAGGAGCCGCAGTGATTGATATGAAAAGACTAAAATGCAAAAGGAATAATGAAAGGAGAGACAGCCTCTCTGTGATGATTAATTTTGATGAGGATAAGCTACCAAGCAAAGTCTTTTTGGGATTAATGAGCTTCTCGGTTAGGCCCTATGTACTCCCTCCTCTAAGATGTTACAAATGCCAAAAGTCTGGGCATGTAGCGGCTGTATGCAGAGGCAAACCGAGGTGAGCAAGATGCGGCGGAAATCATGAGTATGGCGGAAATCATGAGTATGGCAAATGCGGGCAAGGAGTTAATCCCAAGTGTTGTAATCGTGGAGGGGATCACAGTGTGGGATATGGAGGATGCAAGGTGAGGAAACATGCGGCTCAAGTTCAGAATGTTAAAATACAGGAAGGATTGTCATACTCTGAGGCTCTTAAAAAAAGTAGGAAATAATTTGAAATCAGGAGACAAAAGTAAAGAAATCCTTCAACAAAGATTGAAATGGTAAAGGAAAAAACTAAAGAGAAATGTGGGATTAAGAACAATGTTGCATTTGAATCAGAATCAGAATTATAATCAAAGCAGCGTAAAAGTATCTAGAGATCGAGGGTATTTTGGTGGATATGATTAATGAGAAATTAAAGATGCAAACAACATACACCCAACCAGAATGTGGTGGTACATAATGGTGTTTTTAATATTTCAGTGGAATGCGAGAAGCTTAATAGCTAATGGTCAAGAGTTAAAAAAATTCATTTCTGATTTGGAAAGTAAACCTGATATAATATGTGTTCAAGAAACATGGCTCAAACCTCAGTTGAATTTTGTTTTACAAGGATATGTGGTAATTCGGAAAGACCGGAAACGTGGAATATGGGTGGAATAAACATATGGCAGGACTTTTACTTTCTGACCCCTGGATTGTCCACCTCTGGATGTAATACAAAATCAAGCTTTGTGCATTTGCTGTGGTGCATTTAGATCTTCTCCGGTGGCTTCATTACAAGTTGAAATGGGAGAATTGCCTCTAGAACAGCGTAGGTTTCAGTTTTAAGATTAAGGTACTGGTCTGGTGTAAAGGGACATCTGGAAAACCATCCAGTTAGACGAATTCTGAAAGATTGTTGAGAATATGAATACAAAGAAATAGCAAGCTTTGGTTGGGTAATAAGGAAGGAGGCAAACAGCTTGGGGTTGAAAGACCAGGAAATTGTCCCTTCTGTTGCTATACCAGCAATTCCTCCTTTGTTGTTCCCTATGCCACTAACAGATTTACAAATTCACAAATTAATTTAAAAAAAGAAATGTTGAGGAACATGCCAGCTGAAGTAGTAGTTCAACAATATATAATAAAAGAGTATTATTCTGCATAATGGGTATTTACAGATGGGTCTAAGGAGCCAGAGTCTGGAAGAACAGCAGCAGCAGTATACGTATATTCCTACATTTAAAATAAAAATTGCAAAAAGATTATCAGATCATGTGTCAGTTTTTACTTCTGAATTATTAGCTATTATATAGCTCTACAGTGGATCGAAGAAGTTCAACCAGAAAGAACTGTGATATGTACCGACTCAATGGCTGCACTCACTAGCCTACAAAGTGGTAAATCTGAAGATCGGTAAGACTTAGTATTTGAAGTTTTACAAAGTTTGTTTAGATGAAGGCAGTTAAGGATAGAGGTAAAATTCCTCTGGGTGCCTGCACATGTGGGTGTGGATGGAAATGAGGAAGTAGACTCTATGCACACTCCACACTCCAGTTCAGTAGGTGGCGGTAATGCACCTTTTTTTCGCTGGTTTGCCAAACCGCCATAAAACGCCAGAAGAAGAAGAAGAAGAAGTAGTAGTTCAAAGTAATTTGCTTCCAAGCAATTGCAATATTGGTTCACAGCAAACATTTGTGCATTGCTGAATCAAACCTTGAAGCAGCAGATGAGCTTACATTTTCTGCTTCTGCTTGTTCAGTTGCTTTGACACAATCTGTATTGTTAAAAGCGCTATATAAATAAAGGTGACTTGACTTGACTTGCTTATAACTCATGATAAATGAACATCATAAAGTGGTCTCGCTTTGCTTTATTGACTGACATTCAGCTATTATAGAACTGTAAAAAAAAAAAAGTCCTTTTGCTTCAAAATTGAGAAAAAGAAAAAAAAAAAAAAGAACGGTATTGGCTCAGGCTTTTAGACATGAACACTAATTTTTCATACTGCAGTGCATGATGGGAGTTTTTACTATGGTGTTACTCAGCATGCATTGCAGCATGAAGCATTTTGTTGATTGTCACCATTGTTGAGATTCATATGGTGGTTCTTGATGTCTGTGTGTGTCTACATATTAGACTTCAAATTTATATATGTATTACATAGATTTAAAATGCATTCACCATAACTATTAAAACAACACTTTGCTTGCAAGCTCTAGTTTTATAAGGTTGATTATGCAAATCCTAAACATAAATAAAAAAAAATAACTATTTTCAGGCCAGCTCATAATGACCATCTCATCATACAGAACCAGCCAGTATCTCCTTACTGTACAACACCTCATGCAGTGTTACAGAGCGAGCTCTAACACAGGAAGTCAAGGGTCAAGAGCCCAACTAAAGCAAACACTGATCTCCATGACGGTGACCATTTTAACCAATAAAACGTCAACATCTGATCCTCTGTAATTCTCAATAACAGCAGGTGTTCATCACTAATGCACAATCATCATTTAATTAGTCACTTAATGATCTCGTTAACTTTAACTCTTTGAGGACTTGGGATTTGACTTGAAGACTTGCTTGTGACTTGAAAGGAATGACTTGGTTCCTTTCAATGACTTGGTTCCTCCTCTGGAGTTCATGGGTGGAATAAACATATGGCATATGACTTTTACTTTCTGAATCCTGGACTTTAAACCTCTGGATACAAAATACTTTTAGGAGAAACATGAAACAAGAATGTAATAGCCCAAATAAAATATTAAAGCCTGAGTTATGAAAGCGAAACCTCTGACATTTCACTGTCAAAATGTTTAACACCCTATTTAAATTAAAAAAAAAATGATAAGCACAACATGGATTTCCTCTGTCATCACAAAATAAGAGTAAAAGAGAATTTGTCAAGGAAACTTAATGTTGTATATACATGTACACACTATCTTACATTAAAGGTGCAATAGGTGATTGTCTCCAGAAACAATTTTTGTTATGCTGGTTGAAAGTCTCTTCACATCCCGATAGCAATTATTAAAGGGGTCATATGATGCTTTTTTAAAGATCATTATTTTGTGTATTTGGTGTAACAGAATATGTTGACATGCTTTAATGTTCAAAAAACACATTATTTTTCAAATACTGTACATTATTGTAGGTCCTCTATGCCCCGCCTCTCTCAAACGCTTCGTTTTCTACAAAGCCCCCTCCTTTGACAAGCGCAGTCCGCTCTGATTGGCCAGCTGACCCAGTGCACTGTGATTGGCCGAACACCACAAGCACGCGTCGAGGATGGCAGGCAAACATCAACAACCCGATCTTTCTTCCTGGTATTGTAGTACTTTTAAAGTTTCCTCACCGGTGAATGAAACATGATGTAGCCCAGCGGTTAATCTAGTCCTCGCGCCAGCTCGTTAGAAGTGAGCTACGTGCATGAACTGTGTTCCGATCGATATGATCCCTACACAGTGTTCATTGCTCCCTACTCCCTGAGCAGGGGAAATCCGTTGAAGTTTACTTCACTTCAGAACATGGGCTGGAATTGGGAACCTGATGTAGCCTATTGTAGTAATGTTGTTTCTGGTCTGTGAGTGTAAATGCGTTCAGGGGGCGTGGCTTTGGACGGCGATTGCAGGGAGGGTGGGACGTTCGCTTTCAGTGCTATCAGGTTAAAGTTAGCATTTTCCAAGATCTCCTATTGTACCTTTAACACTACTAAGCTTGGCCTAAAATCTGTTAAGTAATTGTGCAATGTCATTAACTGATACATCATGTTTTCCTCAGCTCTCTTTTACCTGTAAGATCTGTTTGTTTTTGAACTCATCTTGTGTTATTCTGGTCTCTCCCACACACTTCGGCAGGCGTCTTCTCACAACATCCTCAAGCTTCATCCGGGCGTCTTTAAGCTCATCATCAGTGGAGTACAAGATCTCCTCAAAGATGTGATCTGATGGACAGAGAACATTTTTGACTGAACTGTTTTCTTTGTCTGGTCAAGTCAAGTGAAAACTAACAAGTATAAATTATGACAATAAGTACACCATACATGATTAAGATGCACAGAACAACATTTATTCTTCAAGAACCCTACTCTTGTTTTAAACTGACCTGTTAGTTTGGTCATCTTTGCAACCCTTTCCTTGTTGGACGCTAGTGCTTTCGTGCGCTTTCGTGAGCCACTTAACCTCCTCTGCAGACCACCATCTCGTGAAGGGGTTTCAGTAAATGGTGAGATCTTGGTGATCTTGTCTTCAGCAGCAGAGAGGGCTTCTGTGATTCTAATGAGCCAATCAAAATAATATAAACCAATAAGTAACTTGAGCAATAAGGGGAATTTTTTTTTTTAACTGAGTAAAAACACAAAACCCCACTTGTCTTCAATGATGTTGACAATCTTGTGCTGGTAGGCCTGGCTGTACAGAGTGTACTGGGTTCGAAACATGTCATAAACATTATCAGCCACCTGTGAGAGAAACAGAGCCATGGAATATAAATCACTCAATACTGAATGACAAGTATGATAGTATGAACATTTTATTATGTTTCATCAGTGATTGAGATTGCAATGGGATTATGAAGAAGATTCAGATATTTTTTCTTGTAATGAAGGATGAATATTTATCTAGTAAGTTTTTGTTTTGTAACCAAATGACCAATCACTCAAATATCTTTAATGGGTTATTTATCATATTTCACAGAATGAGTAATGTCAACATTTTGTTTTTATATGGGTGTGGCACTGCTGTGATATCAAAACAGACCTAAAGCAATCAGTTATCCTGAGGTGCAATAAATGGTACCTTGTCTCTGAAGCAGATGTGTTTCCTCCCTTCGACTTCACAGACCCGAGCAGATTTCAGCATGCGTTGATGGTCAAAGCTGTTTGGGATGCCGAGGTAATGACAGTCTCTGAAAAATAAGAGAGAATTTAAAGGGATTCTCAGTACTCTATTGGTTTGTGCAGATTGATATCATATTTGGTTACTGATGTTTTGCCCCCCTGGACCCCCCTAAAGGGACAGAGACCTTACAAAACACTGTAACCCTTTATTATAATTTGCATTAAGAAGTGACTGAATTAATATATTTGAAATTAATCACACATGACAATTTAAGCATTTTTCATTGTAATACTTTTTTTTAATTCTAACAAAGTTAATATAATTATAAAATAGCATCCTCTTAAAATATGATTTATTTACCGTGCAAAATAGTCCCATCTACACACATCAATGCCATTCCATTTATTTATCACAATGTCATACAGGAAAGCCTTGTCCTCAGTCCTCCCCTTCGCTTTCCACTGGACAAATAAAAAATAACTCAAATACTCAACTTACTTAACAATATAACATGCAGACTACTGAATGAAATGGCAGTTTATAAGATTTTATACCTTGCCATCTGTATCAACTCCCTCAATTAACTCCTGAATAAAGGTAAGGTCGTTTTCTTGAATCCTGTCATTCAGTTCTCCATTTCGGTTTAATATAGCCTTAAGTATCAAGAGTGATGCAACCTGATGATATAAAAATAAACAAACACAAATGATAAAACCGAGAAATAATGTAAACTGCAGGCTACATATTATCACAAATGTATAATTGTAGAATTCAGCAGCAGGAGTTGAACATCTAAAATCAGACCTACAATACTGTGTTTCTATTCTTTTTGATTACCACAGAAAGTAATAAGGACCTATCTCTTATTTGTTAAAAAGAAAAGAATGATGATTTATTCCACCACAAATTGACATTTCTGACACCTTACCGTATTTGTCATTTCTGATTTCATGGTGACGTTAAGCATGATGCACTGAATTTAAAGAGAACTTGTAACAAATACACACACACACACACTTACCTTCCAATTTTCACCTACCAAAGAAAATAAACAGGGGTTATTAATATATGTGTTATTAATGATAACACATCAACTGACTTAATTTATTAATAAAAAAAATCAAGCTCTTTTTATTTACTTTTTCCTGTTTTTGCCGGATCCCTTCGTTTGCCCTGTCCACTTCCACCTCTGTCATCTCCAGCAAAGCCTGCGATGTGGATGCGATATTACTCTGTTCCAGAGCATATGCATGACTGCCAGACTTGAGTTGCAGTCTTACTTGCCCTGGGCAAGAGTGAGCACACTTCCGTTCTCCCCAATCAGCACTGCTCTAGTACAAACAAAAAAAACCCCGGAAAGCGGGACGGGAGAGAGGCGTTTTATGGCGGGGATTATGGGATTATGGCGTCTACTGGGTCAGATCGATAGTTAGGCAAATTAAAACTAAAGAAAAACGTCTGCAACTTAAGCTTCGAAATGACAGACAACGAACAAAAGAGTAAAAAAAGAGCTGCGTCACAGCGCATATCAAAAGCTCACGTATCTGTTCTGTTTTCAGTACTGGAGAATAAGATACATTCTTAGATGTTTTTGTTAGTATGTGAACGTTATCTTACACATTTTATCTCCGCAACAGATTAATTTGAAATAAGTTTATGATGCATGTTTGCTATTCCCAATTCAGAAGAGCGCACACACAGCCTGTGTCTGTGAATGCTTCTCATACTCGCTCCTCTCTGCCCCACGCGGCGCGAGCCGTTCATGCTTGCCGCACTCACGCAGCCTGTCTCGTAATGCTCGTTTATACTCGCACCCGGCTCCGCAAGTCTCCATGAGCGCATCTGGCAGTATGGATGAGGCTTGGCGCAACCTGTGTCGACTCGCGCCTGGCTCCGCGTTTAAAACGAATGTAAATTCAGTCTAACTGCTTGCTAATTTCACTTGGATGAAATGAAACATTCAGTACATTTTCCACTTGTTCTTAAAATCCCAAATACTTAAAATGAATAAATCAGCCTATGTAACATATGTAATACGCTAATAATTGACTTAAGAAATACAGTTCTTTATAAAAAATTAAAACAAATATTTTCTGTGAAATTCAGTAAAGTTAATTCTGTAAAAGTAGTTATACCATTATAATCTTGCCTGCTGAAAAAACAAACAAACAATAGAACCCCTCCCAAAACACAAAAAAAATGTATGGATTTCAGGGTTATAATGGGAATTGTATTGGTTTTAATGTAAACTATAACGGTGTCTACTAGTATTTGATGGATTGTATTGGTGGGATGTAATCTGGCAGATGGGAACCAATAGAACAACAGTAATTCCTATTGGAATAATGCCCAAAACAAAAAGGAATGTTGTAATGGTTTAATGGAAACTATAAGAATTTCTGTGATGTTTCTATTGTTCTTTTCAGCAGGGTAATGGTATCCATACTGTGCTGCACATTATTGACAATATTGATCTACTGTTGTTGTAAATTAATTACAGTTTATTACTGTTAAATTACATTTTATGCTGTTTTTTTCCATCTTACATCTTTATCCCTTTAAACCCCACAACAAAATCCTCAGTTTTAAATGAACACTTATAATGTGTCCACACTACAGAGTGAAGCAGTGCTGAAGTTAATAATTCTGTGATTAATTAAGTGCTGATTGATCATTAGTGATGAACAGCTGCTGTTAACAAACAGAATCACTGAAGAAAAGAGAAACACAAGAACTACAACTGACTTCAACCACAGACTTGGATGAAATCAACTCAAAAATAAAAGACGACATTAAATCTCTCAAGATCTGATTAAACAACTTCACAAACCGCATCACCAGCTTCACATTACTAACCAGACTGTGCAACTTACAAACACAGTTACAGCAGTCAGAAAAAAATAAGATGAAAAACTCAACGGTCAAGAGTCCAACTAAAGCAAACCCTGATCGCCATAATGGTGAGGCCAAACTAAACATTCACCAAAACATCTAAACTTCTGTTAATTCTCAAAGAACTTTTGTAGATATATGACAGAAATAAAGTCAGACTGTAATGTGTGAAGCTGGTAATGCTGTGTGTGTGGAGTTGTTTAATCCTCTTCTGGTGTTTTATTTCAGTTGATTTCATCTGAAGTTGTGGCTGTACGTCAACAGTTCTTGTGTTATTCTTTTCTTCAGCGAGTCTGCTTGTTAGCAGCAGCTGCTTCTCATTAGTATTATAAGGCAACTAAAGCAGCTAAACAAAATCTAATATTAAAAACGTAAGGGTCAAGATCCCAACTAATGCAAACACTGACCACTATAATGGTGACAATTTTTTTTATTTTCTCCTTTGGTGATTTTGCTTGTTAACATCAGGTGTCTTCAATAATGGTCAATCATCACTTAATCAGCTAATTATCTCATTAACTTCAACACTGCTTCAGTCTTTATATGAGTCCACACTCAGAGTGTTAAATTAACACTGGGGTATTTTGCTGTGTACATGTCATCTTTAGGGTCCGTCATTCAAAGGCATGGCTTTTTCTATCATTGCTATGCTGATGACGCGCAACTCTACTTCTCATTCCAACCAGATGATCCAACAGTAGCTGTTTGCATTGCAGCCTGTCTGACAGACATTTCTGGCTGGATGAAGGAGCATCACCTTCAACTAAACCTTGCTAAGACAGAACTGCTCATGGTCTCAGCCAACCCAGCACTTCATCACAACCTCTCTATACAGCTAGGTTCGTCAACCATAACTCCTTCCAGGACAGCCAGGAACCTTGGAGTTGTGATGGACGATCGGTTAAGCTTCACAGACCATATTGCTACAACGGCCCAGTCCTGCAGGTTTGCCTTATACAACATTAGACGTTAGGAAGATTAGACCCTTCCAATCAGAGCAGACCACACAACTCCTTGTCCAAGCTCTTGTTCTCTCCAGGCTGGACTATTGTAATGCTCTCTTGGCGGGCCTTCCTGCATGTACTATCAAGCCTCTGCAACTGATCCAGAATGCAGCAGCCAAAGTGGTCATCAACAAGCCGAATAAAGCTCATGTCACACCTTTCTTCATCAGTTTACACTGGCTACCAGTAGCCGCTCGCATCAAATTTAAGGTACTGATGCTTGCCTACAAGACAACCATTGGCGCTGCACCAATATACCTAAACTCGCTAGTTCAGGCCTATGCGCCCTCCAGAAGCTTGCGTTCTGCAAGTGAACGACGCCTCGTGGTGCCATCCCAAAGAGGCACAAAATCACTCTCACGGACTGTCCCCAGCTGGTGGAACGACCATCTGAGCAGCTGAGTCTTTAGCCATTTGCAAAAAAACATCTAAAGACACATCTTTTTCGCCAGCACCTGACCAATTAATATTATCACTTACCTATTTTATTCGGTCTAATTTATTTATATTTAAAAAAAGAAAAAAAAACCTTGCTATGTGCACTGTGCTAGACTAACTGAGACTTGTCACAGCACTTGTATATTGTTGCTCTCTCGTTGTTCTGATTGCTTCTACTTTGTAAGTCACTTTGGATAAAAGCGTCTGCTAAAAGACAATGTATATAACACTGGCATCAGTAAATGAGAAGCAGGTACTTACCACGCTTTAGAGCATCACAGTAGAATCGCTCATACAGATGAGAGAATGGACCGTGGCCTTAAAGATAAAAACATCAAATATACTGAACAACTCATGTTTTATATTCTACCTGAGAACATATTTTATACCATCTATATTTAAATATATGAATCATATCTTATGTGGGAAATATGTCTGACAAAACTTGTAAAGGAGTTCATTTGCAAATGGAATTAAAACACAATATAGATATATTTATAGCATGCATGATGTATTTTTCATTTAGTTGTAGTCTTTTTACTGCTTGAAATATAGCCTTGCTTTGAAATGTTGAAGGTTTGGAAGTCATTTTGAAGAAATTATTTAGACTAGAGCATGTAGAGTCACAGACATCAAGAATCTGCATGTGAAACCTCAACAACGGTGACAATCGACAAAAAATTTCAGATCAGCTCTGATCATTACAAAATCATTATTGTCACCATTGTTGAGATTCATGTGCTGATTCTTGAGGTTTGTGTGAGTCAAAAGGCTTCCATTCAAGATAATTTATTTATAATGATAATTAGTGAATCCCTGACCGTCATAACATCACAAGACTGCTGTAAAAAAAGCAACATTAAAAGCTAACTTATTCAGAGATAATACCCATGATGTGATCAGGCTATTGTGTGATGACTAACTCATCATCAATATGTAACCAGATTTATCTAATCAGAATTTTCACTAACAAGCCCGACTATAGAGAACACTAATCTCCTTCATTATTTTCAATAACACATCAACATCTAAACCTCTGTTAATTGTCAATAAGAAGTTTTGTATGAAAGATAAAAAGTCAGACTGGTTTGTAATAAGTGAAGATGCTGAGATCTAGAGAGATCTGTTAGTGCTTCATGTTCTGTTGCTGCCAGTCATGTGATGCTTAATTAATTAATTAATTACTTACAGTGAAGGTGTTTGATTGTAATAATTTAGGAAATGCCTGTAAATTAGGAGTGTTGTCAGTTTGTTTAAATAAGGAGATTTTACTTAAATTTTAAAAGGTGCCATAGAATGCATTTATACAATATTTTACATTGTTCTCTGATGTCCCCAGAGTGTGTATATGAAGTTTTATCTCAAAATACCCCACAGATATTTTTTTATAGCTTGTTGAAATTGCTACTTTTAGGGCATGAGCCAAAACACGCTGTTTTTTGTGTTTGTCCCCTTTAAATGAAAATGAGCTGGTGCTCCCGCCTCCCTTTTCAGAAGAGTGCGGAGCTTCAAGAGCTCATGCTCGCAGGCATACCGGTGTTACATTTTAACTGGTGGTGACCTCAAATTGCTTCCAAATGCAATTTTTAACTACCACATTTCTATTTACGATCATTCTGGTAGCACGTGAAGGCAGCATTAGCGAAAACAGGCAGAGACAATGGTAGCTTTAGCAACATTAGTCTTACAGAGAGCCAAGAAGCTCTTTTGGAAAACAAAATATGACGCGTGATGCTTACTTTGTCTGGAGTCTGGACGTTTGCGCACGAAGCGTTGGTATCGATCCCTCTTTCAGAAGCAATCTTTGCACAACTCCAGCTCTGAACTGACCCTCGTTTGTGAGGCAGTCTGGTGTAAAATGTTAGCACAAACGTATAGAACTTTTCAGTTTTTTTTTTTCCTTCGAAAATTAAATTTAACCGTGTCCTCCGCTGTCTATGGAGACTCCTATGTTCGTTGGTGCATCCCAACACACGACACTTTTAATTGCTCTTTGGCGCTGACATTGTACCTCCAGCAGCTACAGCAAGAAAACAGTAATGGCGGACCGCTGCTTCTCACTCAGGGCAGAGAGCATCACAAATGGGCGGGACTTTCCCCGACTATGATGTCATAGTAGTGAGAAATCTGGAAATGCTAGTGTGGAGAGACTGTTTATGATTTATTGGGATTGTAAAACAATGAGTGGGTGGATTTTTACCATTATAGGCGGATTGTTTTCACACACTGCGGCCACACAACTGTGTTCAAACACCTTATAAAAGTGATTTTTGCATTCTATGGCACCTTTAAGGTTTTTGTTTGGCACCCTGTGCTGGCAGTCATTTGACCGTTTTTTTGTCTTTTGTTTTTCATGAAGGTGTTTGATCATAAAAAAAAATCAGGAAATACCTGTAAAATAACTGTTTGTCAGCTTATTTAAATAAGGAGATTTTACTGTTTTGTTATTGTATTACAGATTATTTTTGTAATTTTACATACATTTGTTTGTAATTTAAGAAAACAGAAAACACACTGTATAAAAATGCAGTAGTTTCTCTGTATAAAAAATGTGAATTACTGTAATTTGTCATTAATGTCATAATACTTAAAATAACAGCCAAGTAGTTAATTCAGAGATAATTGAGTTTTGAGTGCAATTCAAAATAAAAGAAAACCTGGAAAAAAAACAAAAACTAATTTTTTTTTTACAGTGTATATTTTTGTCACTCACCTAAATTGTAGCACAGAGCAGCAATCTGGACACACAGGACATCTTTTTCATCAATGCCGAGATCCTCTTGTTTTTCTTTCAGAATGTTGATCATCCGTCCTGCTAAATAGGCCATCCTGCAACACACAGAACAGACATCATTTGAAACAAAACACAGAGCAAATTCAACATTCAACAGTGAAACACGTTCATTTAAATATTCATTTATGACAATTAAGATGTTAATGTAGATATAGGATATATTTTAGAATATAGTGTTCCAAGTTTCAAAACAATATTGAGATGAGTTTTAATATTTATGGAAAGTTGGAAATAGGTTGGACATTACATCATAAAAATACTGTGAATAATACATTTTATAAACAGAAAACAGATGCAAACAACTTCATTTATTTGTGCAAATTCTAGATGCAAATTTACCAGTTAGTTGTGAATTGTATCAAACAAAACAACCTCCCTTGGTTTATCACCCAACCACCGTGCACAGTAAAATCCCTAGTGTTAAATTAACACTGCTCGGAGCAAATATGGTCCCACTCTACAAGAGTGTTAAAGTAACACTGAAGCAGTGTTAAAGTTAATGAGATGATTATGTGATTAATTAAGTGCTGATTGAGCATTAGTGATGAACAGCTGCTGTTAACAAGCAGAATCACTGAAGAAAAGAGAAACACAAGAACTACAACTGACTTCAGCCACAGCCTTAGATGACATTAGGCATTTATGCTCCAAGCAGTGTTAATTTAACACTCAGGATTTTACTGTGTGGAGACGTCAATAATGTAGTAAATATGGAGGGAAGAGATACTGAATATTTGATCACCAACACATTTGCAAAGCTCCTTTTTGAGCAGCAGCTCAAAATAAAATAAAAAATAAAAATAAAAAAAAGAAGAAGACCCACGTATAGGCTGGACATAAAACTCTTCATTAGATGGCCGAACATGCTGTTTTAGAACAGAATTATTTAGCAAAACCGAGTGGCTAACTTAAATTAATGATGAATAAGCCTTAATTGATGAATTGAAGAAGACAGGAATATTCTATGACAGAGTCACAGACACGTTTGCTGCTAAAAAGGAGAGGAGGATGGATTTTTCTTCAAGTAATAGGTGAGCGAAATTTTAAATATTTTGTCTTGTTGTATAAGTATAATGTCATTTTCATACATAAATGCAACCAAAATAAGGTTTTCATTGAGAGGTTAAGAAAAGAAAAGAAAAAAACCAAATCTTCGATTTTAAAATCCATGATAACATCCACTGTTCAGAAATGCCTAATTTTGGCTTTAAAAAAATACCAGTTTGCAATAAAAACTTGATGAAAAATGTAAAAGGTATGTATTGATCATCTATCAGGACATTTTTCAAGAGATCTAAAATACCATAATAAAATACTAAATAATTTTTCAAGGCACTGTAAAAGGTTTTAAGCTTAAAATCATGTACTCTATATCAATCTTGTACTTGCACCTTACCCAAGTGAATGCTCAAATCGAGTATGAGTGGCTCCAGGATAGACCAGATATGCTCCCCCCAGCTGTTTGATGTGACGGAGTCTCTGAAACTCAGGAGTGTCAATGATCTTTATCAGAGGAGGGTCCAGCTCTATTTGACCATAAATGGGGTCATTGAAGATCTAAAGGATACAAAAGGGCAAATATAAGCTTAGAAGCCTAGAACACTTGAATTGGGGCCTACAGCAGAAGTAAAACTCACTGACATAGTATGAACATGCTGTTCATTATAATTTACAACAGTTTTCAGCAGAGGACAGAACCCGTGTTTTGTGGATAAGGAAATCCAGGCGAAAAAATTGTAGTCCATTGTGTGTGTCCATTGTGTACTTAAAGGTGGGGTAAGCGATTTTTCAAAAACGCTTTAGAAAACTGATTCGGGCCGACTAGCAAAACAAACTTGTAGCCAATCAGCAGTACGGGGTGTGTCTACTCGTGATGTGGAGGAGAGAGTGCTCAGTGCACAGGACGGACATTAACGAGCCGAGCGGCGGATAAAAAACAAAAGAGGAAAACGTCTGCGGGACAAAAGAAGGCTTAAGGCAAGAAGTAGGACCCGTGTAAATATCGGATCAGCTTTCCAGCGCTGGAGAGAACTCAAGGAGCGGAAGGCCTGCGATCGGATGCCGAGGTTGCTCTGTTTCTTTTCGATAGGTGAGTAACACCGTGTCTACACGCACCGCAACAGCTAAAGTCTGTCTAGTACACTGGACGCGACAAAACGACCGTTGAAAATCATTTGAAAGTTGTGTCATTATGTCATGATTAGAACGCAGCAGCAGTTTTCTTTCGGAGATTTGTCGTGCCGTGCCGCGCCGCATCCAGTGTAGACCATAGATATGTATATATATCTATGGTGTAGACAGCATCACTGATTATAATGAGTTCTATAGTATTTTGTCGCGCCGCGCCACTCGCGTCTGGTGTAGACACGGTGTAACACTGGTTTTGCTTTGTTTTACAGAACTAATCGTTGCCTGGGTTGCGTACGTATATGTGGGGCGGAGCTATCAAAATAGGGGCGAGACCCTTTTGGGGTAGGGGCGTGTTTGTTTTGGTGATTTCAAATGTCAACATTGGCTACCAGAAATCGCTTACCCCACCTTTAAAGGGGTCATGAACTGCCTCTGGTTTTGTATTTTTTTTATTCATCTGAACGCTCTGTTTGAATAGGCATGGCAGATTGTAGACTCGGAAGTAAACACCCACTGCTATGATTGGCTAACAGTGTACATTCATTCCTCATAGATGGACGCCGCTGTGATTTAGGTCAAAAATGCATAAATAACATATCAAGCGAACTGTAATAATAGACAAAGCAATAGTGACCACGTAATAAAAACAGTTAGGCCGCGTGTCCACCAAAGCATTTTTTGCCAAGCAATATTAACTTCTCCATTGTTGTTCAGCCGCAGTAAAGTCAGTAGTCCCGCCCCTCCTCCACTGTGATTGGTTAGCTGACTAGAAAGTGACAGTGATGAGCGCAGCGTTTTACCCAAAGTTGAACATTCTTCAACTCTCGGCACCGAGGAAAAAACGCCCGAACTCTCAGCGCTCAGCACAAAAAAGACGCTCAGCACTCGGCACGCTCCTGGCATTTTAAAAAACCCGGCGCTCCCATTGAGAACAATTGAAAAAATATGCCAGCCTTGGGAAAAAACGCTTTGGTGGACACGCGGCCTTAGTCTGCACGGCATTGTCTTTTAGTTTCAATCTTTCTGAAAATCCTGCGTTGAATTGTACCTTGTTTGTAAACGAATTCAAAATAAAATGAAGTGAACAAAGGACCAAGTTCTTACTGACTGTTCTTACAAACACTGTTTTTTTTCCCACAGCTTGGCACCGCACAGCGTCTTGTTGTCTTCAGAGCATCTTTATCGTTTGGTTTCTGTTTTTATAGTACAATGACCTCTTATATGTCAAAAGATCAAGGGAATTTTGGTTTCTCAGTTCACGGCCTCTTTAAAGTGCTCTATGTTCATGCAATAATTTTGTACTTAACATACTAAAAATTATTTTTTTTGTACTTAAGAAAATCTTAAGATCATTTAAGTGTGCTCAAACGTGCTATTTTGGGACACCATGAAAATGAACTAAAATGTGCTTTTAACATACCATCTCTGTATTTAAAAAAAAAAAAGTATTTAGTTACCACTTGTAGTACACTAGAACCCATCTTTCATACACTAGTGGGTTCAAGTGTACTACAAGTGGTAACTAAATACATTTTTTAATACATCTCTAACCAGTCCCTCCAGGGACACAGAGAGTTCTGCTGCTTTGATCCAGAATGCAATGCCTTCTGGGCCATTCAGCAGGATTCCCCACCGCTGCACCACCACGGGTATGTCGACTGTCCCTTTGGTGCCACTCGTACGGAGTTTGGGGGTGTGGCTTGCACTACCAGTCCCGCTGGCTCGGACAGTTCGACTTAGCTACATGATTCAGTTTGCCAGGCAACCCCCCACCCACTGGGCAAAGTTAAGTCCACTGGACGTCTTTGCACACGTTGGACGTCCACTGAGGAGCCAGAATTAAAGTTTTTATGACGTCTTTTTTTGACGTGTTCTGCGCGTCCGATATAGACGTTCATGGAAACTCTGTACAGGTTAAAAACTAGTTCAAAAGTAGTTTACACTTTAGATTAGGGGATGCAGAAAGCTTTGTAAATGATTTATTCATGCGTTTACACAACAGGTTTTGAATACTTTGTAGTGTGTACTGCATTGTAAGGGCTGACTGGTGAGGGTGTAGACAGATGTCTTCTCTGACACACATGGAGTATTTTAAAGCTGTGCACTTGAGTGGAGGGTTAAACTGGTTCACATTATGACTACATCCCACACACTCCACACAGAACACAAGTCTGTTCTGATGAGAGAAAGGGTTTAAGACAACCCACTGGAATCCCCTGACTGTCAGTCATTTACACATGTTTATTCACTTGACAGCAAACAATTTATTATTATTTTTTTTTAAATTGTTTTGGCATAATTGCATTTTTGGGCTTTTTATCAGACCAGCTTACAACTTTAACGAAACATACATAAATTATATACTGATCATTTACAAATGGTTTAATCATCATTTGTTTATGATTAACAAATGTTTATTGAGACAATAGTACAATGTTGAGAAAGGGTTTAACACAACCCCCTGGAATCCCGACTGTCAGTCATTTACACATGTTTATTCACTTGACAGCAAACAATTTATTATTATTTTTTTTTAAATTGTTTTGGCATAATTGCATTTTTGGGCTTTTTATCAGACCAGCTTACAACTTTAACGAAACATACATAAATTATATACTGATCATTTACAAATGGTTTAATCATCATTTGTTTATGATTAACAAATGTTTATTGAGACAATAGTACAATGTTGACATTTCAATGATTTATAAGTGATTAATAATATATTAACTAGTAGCTATACTGAAAAAACGATTAATTGAATTTACTAAATTTTTTTAAGTGGTTGCAATCAATTTATTTTAGCTACATTTAAATAAATATATTTAGTTGACTAACTTTCAACATTTTTTTTATTTAAATGTAGCTAAAATTAATTGTTTGCAACCACTTACCTTAAAAAAAATTATCATTTGTTTCAGTGTATTAACTATTTACTAAGGATCTGTTTAATTATTTCATGTTATTTTTTAAGATAACTTACGACAGATTTGTAAATCGTTAGCATATTACTTAATAATCATTTGTGAACATTTTGTAAATGATTAGTTACTCATCTAATCACTTGTAAATTATTTCTAACTTAATCTACAAAACATAGATAAAAATATTAACATATCACTTATTAATCATTTATGAACGAATAGTCATGTTTTGTAAATGATTAGTTCATCATTAACTGACTACTTGTAAATGACTTGTAAATGAATTAACAAAACATACACAAATTGTTAGCATATCACTTATTAATGACTTATAAATGTTTTGTAAATGATTAGTTCATCATTAACTAATCACTTATAAATGACTTGCAACTGAACGTTATTATAAAGTGATACCTAGATCGGTCTCATTGCTGAACATTCTGATGCACAACAGCTGCAGTCCCATCATCCAGGTGAGTTGAGAAGTCTATCAACACATTCTGAGTTTAACACCCGAAGCCTACTTAATATTTCACGTTAAGATTAACCTTTTTCTTTTTTGAATTTAAGTGACTTTTTTTACCTTGCCTAAGGAAGGTTGGTAGTTTTGTGATCGCTCTCTGACAGTCTCCTCTGCTTTTCCTGTGAAAAAAACAAACAAAAAAACAGGTACTTTGGTGTAAGAAATATGTTATTGTGTTTCAGTATATCTATTTTAACAAACACTGACCTTATGGTTGTTTTGGGACTTGAACACAATATATTTTACTACAGCATGTGTTAAAAATATCTACAACATGCCATAGTTGCCAACATGCCAAAATAAATTCCCATAACAAGTAATGTGTTCCACGACAAGTTTACTATAGTAAAATGTAGTAGTTTGAGTACTTTAAACAACCTTCTAATTTATGTTAGTGCATGTCTGTTTTTTGTTCTGTTCCTCTTCAGCCTTTTCAGATTGTGGGGCTGTTTTAAAAGTGAAAGTGATCCAAGTGCACACACACAGCAGTAAGTAGTGAAAACACACCTGGCGCAGTGGGCAGCCATTTTTGCTGCGGCGCCCAGGGAGCAGTTGGGGGTTCGGTGCCCCCAAGGACACCTCGGTCATGGTATTGAGGATGGAAGAGAGCGTTGATCATTCCCTGCAACATCACACTGACTGAAACTCGAAGACCTCAACCGAATTCAAATTTGCCTTGCTCCGCAGCCAGGACAATTCCAATCGGACTACCAGCAGGTTAAACAAGCCAAACAAACAAATCATAAAAGAATTCTCAGACCCAGAGTCTGGACACAGACTAAACGCTGCCCTAGCCACCAAACAGGGCCGGCATGAAACTCCCCATGCTTACTACCACAGACTTTGACAAGCTTACTTCGGAGCTCGCAATGCACCCTGTATGGAAGAGGATACCAGCTTCAAGAGTCTTTTCCTCCAAAACCTTCATCCTATTGCAAGTCACCAGTAATTAACTTTGAAACAAACACATTGCCCACAGAAAATGACTGCTTCCCATTAATTCAAAGAAAATCCTTTCTATGACTCAACATGCATATCCCCAGTATATTGTGTGTATTATAACTGTTTTTTGTATATTGTCTTTTGTACTGTATACTGTTTTATGCATGATAAAACCACTGGTTAGTGTAACCTCGCATATACAATTTTTGGTATCTACAATTTCGTAGTTTGATTATCTAAATGATAGTGTATATTATGCAACATAAAAGTATTATATAAAAATCTTTAATAGTTTTTGCATCAACACCTAATCCAGTTACATATTAAAAAAATACCACGTTTGAAGACAAAGGGTCATAAACTTTCCCGCAAAAATTACCAATGAACCCCTGGAGGTTTGACCTCCATAGAAGTTAAAAGACCTCACTAGTCCATGACCACGCACTCTTCGTCTTCTCCTCTTCTTCTTTGTATTCTGGTTGCTACAGGCAATGACTACAGTCATGTCTTAATTTTTCACCCGGAAGAGAACTCTCCCAATCACCACCAACTCAGAATAAATCTTTGAAGTTGTAGTCACACTTCAAACCCAGTAAAACGTGATCGCTATTCCAACACCATCAAACTTCAAACTAGGTCAAACAAGGCTTGGTCAAACTACTAAATCTGCTACAGTTAATTCTGGCAGCTGAGGTAAATAATTATAATTAATTGCAATTATTTATATACATTTCCCTTTTGAGCTAAGTTGCTAGATTTGTGTTTGAACTGATTTTGAGGATGGTTAAAAGCATCTGCTATATATGAAAATACATAAAAAGGTAGAAAAGTAAAGAGGCAGGCACAAAGACAACACAGATGATGCTTTACTACAAATGCATAGAAATGCAGTTACCTGAATCAATGAACTCATTTTTCTTGCACCACTCATGGAAGCTCTCCTCTGCTTTCTGCTGGACCTTCTGATAACTGACATCAGTTTTATTGTAGTACACCCTCACGAGATATTCATGAAACCTTTTTGGCTTGAGACTGGATACCTGCAAGACCAAGAGAAACCAAACCAAGCTTTTAACCAAGCTTTTCTCTGACCAGGAATATGCTTTACTTGCACAGAGATGAATTTAGGTATGTGCACTACAAACTACAGCAATCTAAATAGCCTTTGCTCAAAACCATTCATTCCAGTAAGGATAACATTTATTCATTTCAAATAAAATAAAATCTCTTTATTGTCACACATCGTGTACACAAGTATACTGATGGTGAAATTCTTAGGTACAAGACTCTGTGCCATGGCAGTACAAGCAACAAGATATGACAAATTAACAATATACATAAATAACAATATACACATTTTACACAATATACAATAGACAATTGTACACAATATACACATTTCCATAATATACACATAGTATACAGTATACTCAAGAGACATAAATGTATGTATAGCTTTTAAATATGACTTACAGTGATATATACTGTAGTGTTTTACTGTGAAGTTCAGTGCAGTAGTTAGTGCAGAAGAGAAGATGGAGCTGCATGTGTTCTATGCTATGCAGTGCAAGGCATGCTACAGTGCTGTCAGAGTCAGTGTGGCTGGTGTGTAGATGGTATCCAGTGTGAGGGGTAGGGGTAGGTGGGTGATTATCGTTTTGATATCTGGAGTTCAGCAGTCTGATGGCCTGCGAGAAGAAGCTGTCTCGCGTTCTGCTGGTTCGGGTCCTGATGCTGCAGTACCGTCTGCCTGATGGTAGTAGCGAGAAGAGTTCAAGGAGTCTCTGATGATCTTCTGTGCTTTTCTCGCACATCTCTGGTTGTAGATGTCATGGAGGGAGGGAAGCTCACCTCCGACGATGTGCTGGGCCATCTGAACTATTCTCTGCAGGGCTTTCCGGTTGAGAGTGGTGCAGTTCCTGTACCAGGCGGTGATGCAGCCAGTCAGGATGCTCTCCACAGTGCAACTGTAGAACTGTCTGAGGATTTTTGAGCTCAGACCAAATTTCTTCAGTTGCCTGAGGAAGAAGAGATGCTGGTGGGCCTTCCTCACTCCTGACTGTGTGTGAGAAGTCCAGGTGAGGTCCTCTGTGATGTGAATGCCGAGGAACTTGAAGCTGCTGACCCGCTCCACTGGAGTCCCGTCGATGGTGATGGAGGAATGCTCACTGGTCCGTCTCCTGAAATCCACCACCAGCTCCTTGGTCTTATTGATGTTCAGAGAGAGGTTGTTGTTGTGGCACCAGTTAGTCAGGGTGCGCACCTCTTCTCTGTAGGCTGATTCATCATTGTCGGTGATCAGACCTACCACCATTGCGCCATCCGCAAATTTGATGATGACGTTGGAGCTGTGCATGGCTACACAGTCATGCGTGTACACGGAGTACAGGAGAGGACTGAGAACACAGCCCTGAGGGGCTCCAGTGTTGAGGGTCAGTGGGGTGGAGATGTTGCTGCCAACTCTGACCACCTGCCGTCTGCCTGTCAGGAAGTCCAGGATCCAGCTGCACAGAGAACTGTTCAGACCCAGAGCCTGGAGTTTCACCACAAGCTTAGAGAGCACTATGGTATTAAACGCTGAGCTGTAGTCAACAAACAACATTCGCACATATGTGTTCCTCAAGATGGGAAAGGGCAGTGTGCAGGATGAAGGCAATTGCATCATCAGCGGAGCGGTTATTGCGGTTGGCGAACTGCAGTGGGTCGAATGATGCTGGTAATGCTTCTCAAAGCAATTTTATGTTTGTATTGGCGTTTTGCGGTCTTGTTGGTTTTGCGGAGGACATAGCTGGCTTGCTTATAATCATCCGCATTACCGGAGTTAAAGGTGGAGGTTTGAGCGTTGAGAGCCGCGCGAACATCAGCGTTAATCCACAGTTTCTGATTCGGGTAGGTTTTGATTGTTTTGGTCGGTACAATGTCTTCTATGCACTTCCTTATGAAGCACGTGTCTGTGTAAACATCAATGTCGCCATCGGATGCAGCCCGGAACATATCCCAGTCGACGTAATCAAAACAGTCCCGTAACATAGAATTCGATTGGTCTGACCAAAGCTGAATCATCCTGAGGGCAGGTGTTTCCCGTTTCAACTTCTGCCTGTAAGCAGGCAGGAGCAGAACGGAAGAGTGATCTAATTTGACTAGAGGTGGCTGGGGGAGAGACTTGTAGGCATTCTGGAAGGGGGAGTAACAGTGGTCCAGAATCCGATCTCCACGTGTGTTGCATGATATGTGCTGGAATAATTTTGGTGCAATCCTCCTAAGATCGGCTTTGTTGAAATCCCCGGTTAAAATAAACGCAGCGTCAGGGTGCATGGTCTCCTGTTTGCATAACTGCCCATACAGTTCCTTGAGTGCTGCATCTGTGTCGGCCTGAGGGGGGATGTAAACAGCTGTAATGATGACCGCTGTGAATTCCCTCGGTAACCAAACCGGCCGGCACAGAAGCGTGAGGTATTCCAGGTCAGGAGAACAAAGAGATTGTATAGGATGTACATTCCTCCGATCGCACCATGAGTTGTTGATCATGAAGCATACACCTCCTCCTTTGCTTTTCCCTGAGAGATCCGGTATTCTATCCGCGCGATGCACGGAGAATCCCGTGGGCTCGATGGCAAAGTCTGGTACCTCTCGAGACATCCAGGTTTCTGTGAGGCAAATAATAGAGCAGTCCCTGATCTCATGCTGGAAAGAAATCCACGCTCTCAGTTCACAGAGTTTATTGTCCAGGGAACTGGACATTAGCCAGTAGGATACTTGGTAGCGGTGGTCGATCTGTGCAACGTCTTAATCTGACGAGGACGCTGGCTCTCTTTCCTCTCCTCTGGCTCCGTTTTCAATGTCGCGGTCAGGCGGCCCAAACAAAGGGCTACGCAGTGTTGTTTGTAAACAACGGGTTGGTGTTGAGGAATTTAAAGTCCAGTTTGCGGTGAGTAACTGTAGAACCGATATCCAGAAGTGTTTGTCTGTTGTAAACAATTAGGCAGACAACATCCAGAACAAGAAACATCCAAATTACATACAAAACAAACAAAAAGCTGCCCGTTTGGGTTGGAGCTCGCAACACGGCAGCCATACTCGGCGCCATCTTGATTAAAGGTGCACTAAGCGATTTTTGCCAAACAATGTTGATATTTGAAAGCACCAAAACAAACACGCCAATAGGACCTCGCCCTTATTTTGATATCTCTGCCCCACACATACGTACACAACCCTGGCATAATGACGATCGCGGAAACAAGTGAAGATGACACACAAGCATATAAAAAAAAAAGCCATCACAGATAAGTTGTGTGAAACGAAGCAAAATCAACGTTAACTTACCAATCAAGAAGAAACAACGCAACCTCGGCGTCCGATTCGAGCCCTTCCCACTCCTTGAGTTCTCTCCAGCGCTGGAAAGCTGCTCCGATATTTGCACGTGTCCTACCTCTTGCCTGATCGTAACCCTTCTTTTTAATGTTTTGTTTCTCTGATATTTTCCTCTTTTTTTATCTGCCATCACTCTCTATCTATAGGATCGCGCAAACAAGTGAAGATGACACACAAGCATATAAAAAAAAAAGCCATCACAGATAAGTTGTGTGAAACGAAGCAAAATCAACGTTAACTTACCAATCAAGAAGAAACAACGCAACCTCGGCGTCCGATTCGAGCCCTTCCCACTCCTTGAGTTCTCTCCAGCGCTGGAAAGCTGCTCCGATATTTGCACGTGTCCTACCTCTTGCCTGATCGTAACCCTTCTTTTTAATGTTTTGTTTCTCTGATATTTTCCTCTTTTTTTATCTGCCATCACTCTCTATCTATAGTCGATCTGATAATATCTGTCCTGTGCACTCAAATTAAGCGCTCTCTTCAAGACACGCCCTCTTACTGCTGATTGGCTACAAGTGTGTTTTGGGACATGGTCCGACACTGTGGTCAAAAGTGTTTTTTCAAAAATCGCTTAGTGCACCTTTAAAGGGGTCATCGGATGCCTATTTTCCACAAGTTGATATGATTCTTTAGGTTCTTAATGAAAAGTCTGTAACATAGTTTGGTTATAATTTCCTCAATGGTAGTGTAAAAAACACCTTTTTACCCTGTCAAAAACAGCTCTTTTCAGAGCAAGCCGTTTTGTAGCATTTTCCTTTAAATGTTAATGAGCTCTGCTGACCCCGCCCCTCTCTTCCGAGCTGCTCTCAGAGAGACCGTTTACTTTAGCCGCATTCATCGTGAAACTTGCTAATTAGCACATTATTAGGAAAGGCGATTTGCAAAGATTCATTAAAAAACCTTATACTCACTTCTTCTGTAGGTGAGACTGGATCACGAATGATTTGCGTGTGAACATAGACGCATTTAGGCAGATCGGGGGAGCATTCCCTTCAGAAACAAACTTAATACACTGCATCTTCAGCGGCTCAGATGTCGTGAGTAAATGATGACTGCTATGTTCATTATTACATCCAACAACAGAACACCTCAATCACCTCCAAGGAGTCATTCTTGTCTACATCTACTCCTGCAGTGTAACAATGGCGGACTGATGACAGCTCACTCAGGGCGGGTCTAAGGTAAGACGCCAGTCCAGTCTGTGCTGAAACGCTACTGTCAATCAAACTATCGTGGGAGGGGCCTGTTTTTGTGACGTCACACAGACAGGCATCTGAGATCGGCTCGATTTGAGAAAGGGGTAAAGATTTGAGTAGATAAAATAAAAACACTGGGTGGATTTTTATCATTATAGGGTGGTTGTGTACACACACTGCCAACACACATTTCAGTTCAAACTACTTGTAAAAGTGCATGTAGCATCCGATGACCCCTTTAAGATTAAGATTTTTATTTGCATATATAGTGACTATATTTAGTAGTGACTAAATTAAACAGATATTATAGAGATTCATAGTCATGCCAGTTAGGAGATCAGGATTCAATCACATAATCATGATATTTCTGTAAATATTTGTGATAAGATTTAGATTTCATACCTGATACTTCTCCAACTTGAATGCTGTCTTTAAGTCATTCTTGCTGTAGAAATGAACATTACCAATGGGCTCATTACCCACTTCACCAAATCCCATGTCAAGAACCTGAATGAGAGGAAATTTCAGATGGAAGAGAAAGATAAACTACAAAAATGAAGAGACAGAAAAATTGATTGTCTTATATAAACAAATAAACAAACATAGGCTACATACATAAATGTCAAAGTCCTCAGCATTCAGAGACTGGTTGGAATTGTTGATAATTTTCTCCCAGTGGTTCTTCAGTTTTTTCTAAAGGTTTGGAGGAATCAAATATACTTCACTAAATGAAAAATAATACAGACAAAATATATTTACTTTTTTTTTTTTTTTTAATCTTTAGTAGTATGCCATGCAGTGTGTTACAAATCTAACAAAATATAAATCTGTAAAAAACTGATAGTTTGTGAGTGAACATTTGTGTGTGAACATCACATAAAAAGATGCATAGCAATATGAAACATAAAACTTTTTTTTGTTTATGTAGCTGTCACAGATAAATGGATATTTTGTCAATATTTCAGTTACTTTACGGAAAGGTATTTTGTTTCTTATAAATGCTATGTAATATTATAAATGTAGTGTGTAATATTATGAATATTCATTCAGAATTGTACATTTGAGTTGCATAATTTTGATAATAGTAACATCTACAGGTAAGCAAATGAGTGGTGGTAGTCTGAACATGTCATGTGAGCTGGCTAGCTCTGTGAATACCAGAACCAAGAGGAGATGCACACAAATTAAGAAGTGTCTGGAAAGAATATCTGATCGAAAAATGTCTCCTAATGTCTCCTGAATTTCTGATTGGAAGGCACACACAATATGTTTGTTTATTTTTTGTTTGTTAATTTAGGAGTTAACTGTACTGCGTATTGATATCAGTTTAGTAGGCTATAGGCCTGGTTAAGCTACAGTATCTCACAGAAGTGAGTACACCCCTCACATTTTTGTAAATATTTTATTATGTCTTTTCATGTGACAACACTGAAGAAATGACACTTTGCTACAATGTAAAGTAGTGAGTGTACAGCTTATATAACAGTGTAAATTTGCTGTCCCCTCAAAGTGAGTACAGCCCTAAGTGAAAATGTCACTTAGGGATGTACTCACTTTTGTGGCTAGCGGTTTAGACATTAATGGCTGTGTGTTGAGTTATTTTGAGGGGACAGCAAATTTACACTGTTATACAAGCTGTACACTCACTACTTTACATTGTAGCAAAGTGTCATTTCTTCAGTGTTGTCACATGAAAAGATATAATAAAATATTTACAAAAATGTGAGGGGTGTACTCACTTCTGTGAGATACTGTACATCATGGACAGAAAGCTCACTCATATTATGTATCTAAATGTCATTTTTAGTTCTTTTCAGTTTTTTTCATGGTGTCCATATTTATGATGTCCTTTGAAAGAAGACATTAAACATTAAAGCATCAGTCGAAGAATGTCTTTTTTTTTCTCTCTGATCAATAGAAAACGTTCAGGAGCCGTTACAGTTTACTTTCTTTCATGTTGCTTAGTTAAAGTATATCTCCGACAAGCAAATAAGTGCAAAGTTGAAAGCAATTTGTTTTTATAATAACAATAGATAATAGACACCAATAATTACTTTTCGCATGAAAACGTTTATTTCAAGAGGCTTCTAAATCTGTTTTCTTGTGAAATTCACAATCACAACAATCCTGTACAATACATTTTAAAAAAGTGTTAAGTGAGATGGGAATAAGTACCTGCACTTTGATCATGGATGCTTTAGGCTGGTCTTTAAATTTGGTCATTTTTTCCTAAAGGATTTAGAAGAATAATTAGTCAACCATACATGCAAATATGTCAATAAATGAAACTAAAAGATGAAATAGACAAACATCAGTTTGGCCACGGTGACACCTATAAGTCGACAGTGATAAATCTTTCAATTATATTACTAGTGACTGTATTTGACTTCTCAGCCATTTTGCCTAAAATCAGAAGTATAGTTTAATTGCTTATTGATGCAGTTAGTCTGATGCTGCCAGCAATGGTGGCATGACTTATCATATTTATAATTGTATTCATTTGAACAACTCAATTAAGGGGTCATATGATGCGATTTCAAGTTTTCCTTTCTCTTTGGAGTGTTACAAGCTCTTGGTGCATAAAGAAGATCTGTAAAGTTGCAAAGACTAAAGTCTCAAATCCAAAGAGATATTCTTTATAAAAGTTAAGACTTGTCCACGCCCTCCTAAAACGCCTCGTTTAAACATGGCCCCACATGTCTACGTCACGATGTGGGAAGATTTGCATAACGCCGCCCAAATGTTCACGCAAAGAAAGAAGGTGTTACTTTTATGCTCGCTGTATTATTGTTGTTGCCGCCACCGCCATGTCGTGGAGACGCTGTTTGTTTCTTAAACATAAATATGATGCGGCCGGATCTGATCAAATTAACATATGTGTGTGAAATAAATAATAAAGTAAATAATAATAAATATAAATAAAAGAATAAATAAATAATAAAAATACAATTTTGTTTTCTCTTTTCTTTAATCTTTCCCTGTCTAGCTTGTACTTATTTCAACAATGCTTGAAACTTGGTAATACGAGCACTTCTTGTGTCTATTAGCCTCTTTAAGATGAATATATATATATATTATTTTTTTGCATCAATTTTGCATGCTTAAATTAACATATGTGTGTGTATACACACATTTACATTTGCATTTATTCATTTAGCAGACGCTAAATTGGGGCATACATATGTGTGCTTTGTGTACATTTGTTTAAAGATTTAAAGGCCATGTTTTGATAGATACATGTTGACATTAAACATAAAATAAATGTGCTATATTTCACAGTTTAACAAACACAAAATTACCTCTAATATTTCTTCATTCAGTCGAGCCTCTCCAACAAATTTCGGCAGACGTCTGTTGACAATGTCCTTTAAAATATCTCTGGCTTTTTTCAGCTCCTCAGAGTCTGACTGGTTAAGAATCGTATCAAAGATGTGATCTGTTGAAAGACAGGGGAAATGGAAATGGTACATAGAATTTTAATTTTCAGCGTATAAAGAGTGTACGTTTTATCTATACCCAACTTGATATGATGTCAAAAATTAACCTGTCATTCATTAATACAAAACAGCACAATATCAAGTATCATACACTATCAGAAAAAAAGGTACAAAAGCTGTCATTGGTGTAGTATCATCTGTGGCTTATTGACCCCTAAAGTCTACATTTTAATACCTTTTGAAAGGGTACTGCACACTTTGAACCATTTATTTTTCCCTGACAGTGTATTATGACAGGTCATGTGAATGAAGCTGATCCAGAATGTCAGACTCTTATCAGGGCGCTGTTATTTAAATCCTCCTTTCATCTGTCTTTCTATTACACAGATATGAAACTTCAGTCACACTTTATTTTAAGCTCCAATTCTCGCTATTAACAAACCATTAACTATGACTTCTGTTTCAGTAAACTCCTAATTTACTGCTTATTAATAGTTAGTAAGGTAGTTGTTAAGTTTAGGTATTGGGCACACTGTAAAAAAAATCTGTTAAATTTACGGTAAAATACCGGCAGCTGTGGTTGCCAGAACTTTACCGTGAAAAATACGGTAGCAACATTTTAGGTTTTACAGAACTGTTTCAATTTACAGTGAAAAACTGTATTTCATTAACTGATACGATGTTAATATACAATCCTTTGAGTTAACTCATTTTATTTGCAGAAACCGACTGCACTTAATTTGGCCAATTGGCAGTATCAGTTAATGAAATACAGTTTTTCACTGTTTAAATTTACAGTGAAAAACTGTATTTCATTAACTGATACAATGTTAACATGCAAACCTTTGAGTTATCTCATTTTATTTGCAGAAACCGACTGCACTTAATTTGGCCAATTGGCATTTGTTTTTAAACTAACATTTATAATGCTCAAGTAACACAAGTATATTGGTCTTAAGAACTATTTTGCTTAAATCCATGAAGAAAAACCTACTGATTTATGCAAAGTCATTAAAAGCATAAATTCAACTAAAATCTATTGCAGATAACAGCAGCACACATTCATGTGTGATTGAAACTATTGAAGAGATTCACACTGCATCAGTAACTACACGGTTACTGCCTTTAAATAAAGCAACAAGCAGCATAACATCAGTGTTTCTCTGTCCGTCCTTTACTTAAACACCGGCTCTGCTCTCCAGCACAATGGTGACCCACAAAACACAACAGGAAGTTGACTGTTAGGTTTTACAATATTTTGCTGTTTTCTTTTCTTGATTTTACGGTGAAATACCAGCAGCTGTGGTTGCCAGTAATCTGCTGTTTTTTACAGTTTGCTTCAATAAATTAAATTAACAGTATATTTATGTTAAAAATACATTTCACAGTGTTTTTCTTCATCTCACACATTTAACCCCTTTAATCCCACAGCAAAATCCTCAGTTTTAAAGAGCACTTATATGTGTCCACACTACAGAGTGTTGAAGTGACACTGAAGCGGTGATGAAGTTAATGAGATAATTAAGTGACTAATTAAATGAGGATTGAGCATTAGTGATGAACACCTGTTAACAAGCAGAATCACTGAAGGAAAGAGAAACAAGAGCAGAGAAACACAACTTACAGCCAGAGCCAAAGATGAAATCAACTGAAAATAAAATACATTAAATTGATCAAGATCTCAGCAGAGGAGTATTAAACAGCTCCACAAACAGCATCACCAGCTTCTTATTACTAACCAGTGTGATATTATTTCTGTCATATGTGTACAAAAGCTCTTATTGAGATTTTAGGTGTTGTACTTTCATTTGAAGTCACCATAATATCAGTGTTTGCTTTAGTTGGGCTCTTGAACCTTGACTTTTTAAAAATAGTTTTTCTTTGGTTGCTTAAATTAGATGTTTATGTAACACAGTTTTTATAGTAAGAAAAGCCAAAATAATATATGATCAAATAAAACTGGTGTTTGTGATGTCAAGACCATCATGAACTAGTCAGATTCACTGATCTCACCTAATGTTTAATATCTTATTAAGTGTGTAACATAACTAATACTCTTGAGTTGCGCCACTGATACTACCGCAGTCACTGTGAAACATTCCTAAACACAATATGCAAAAATAAAAGTTTTAAACTATGGCAGCATGTAAACACACAAAGACATCAACAGTCAGCACATGAATCTCAAGATTGGTGACAATCACATTTTTTTGTCATGCTGCAATGCATGCTGGGAGTTTTGTACTGGCACCCAGCATGCATTGTGGCATGATTTTGTTATGTTTTTATTAATAATAGTCACCATTGTTGAGATTCATGTGCTGATTCTTGATGTCTGTGTGTGTCTAAACGGTGCTGTAGCTGTAAAGGTTTTGTGCATAAAATGTTTTTAAATTTCTCCACAATAGTTTGTCAACATATCTTGTAGAGTCATGGTATTACCATAAACAAAAAAAAATTTTTAATCGACCCACGTAATTAGACACTAATCGATATCAGTGATGACTCTGAGGCTACTTTCTCGAAAACAAAGGTTAGATCTATTACGGTTATTCACCGTATATTGTAAGGAAACTTATTGTAAATCATTTAACAGGTTTTTACTGTGGCATTTCTACAGTCTTTTACTGTTAAAATCACGATAATTTTTTACAGTGGCAGGATTAGGGATGCAGAACATGGTCATGCAGAATATGTGCTTTATAAGTACTAATAAACAGCCAATATGTTAATAATAGGCATTCTAATAAACAACTAGTTAATATTTCCACCATTTGCACCATCAGTCAAACTCTCGACCTCTAGTATTCTGTACCTAGGGAATTCCAATCTAGTATATTCACGTGTTACTGTGTCTTGATTTGAATTACTGAAATTAAAAAAATGTCAATGTCCATTTTATATGTATGTCTTAGTCTGCTGGATCTGTTCTGTTACTGTTGCTGGAAGGGAGAAGAGTTTTGCTGAGAACAAAACCAAACCATCAGTACTAACAGACTCTTTTGATATTTGGGTGTACATATTTACCAACATTTGTATGTTTTCTTCTTTCGTCAATTCTTTGCTTGGTGTGTTTCTACAGAAACATTTCTCTTAATTTGTACCCATGCTTTCTCTGACCTGTGAGTTTGGTGTACTCTAGCATGTCATCTATGGCATCTGAGATCTTGCAATCTGGACTCAGCTTGCCATCAGCTAGTACCAGAGCATCCTTAATCCTAATGTACAAAGAGAAACACACGTACGCATGTACAATTTAGTAAAAATAGGGGACATTTCATAATGCATGTAGAAGAATGACCAATATAAATAAATGTACTCTTTAACACAAAACCTACTTGACGTCAATGATGTAGCCGATCTTGTGCTGAAGGGCCTGACGATGAAGAGTGTATCTGGTGTGAAACATGCCATAAACAATATCTGCCACCTGTGAGAGAAACAGAGAGTCATGGACTAGAGCAGAGAATGAAACACAGAAACATAAAATATTAATCACAGAATAGTGCGTTTAAAAATAATAATAAAAATAAAATAACAACATTAACGCTGCAAGCAGTGATGGTAGGGCACTCGTACCTGTACCACCACCACCCCGTGACTTTTGCATTTAAGTAGGTAAATATATGTCAAAGTCATTTATATTTGCCACACTTCCGATTGCTTCCGATGACTATAAGTCATAGCATAGCAGTTTAGTTACAACAACTACATATTTCACGGCAATTATAGCATGCATTAACACTTAGCTAAGAGTTTCTAACATGTTTTAACATGTTTAGCACAAGCTGTCGTATTTTAGTATGTTGCTAGCAGAGGTGGGACTTTCAAGTCACAAGCAAGTCTTCAAGTCATATCCCAAGTCCTCAAAGAGTTAAAGTTAATGAGATAATTAAGTGACTAATTAAATGATGATTGTGCATTAGTGATGAACACCTGCTGTTATTGAGAATTACAGAGGATCAGATGCTGATGTTTTATTGGTTAAAATGATGTCACCATCATGGAGATCAGTGTTTGTAATTTATAGCAATGCAGGAGGTGTTGTGATGCAGTGAGATCAGTGCTATGCGGTGAGCAGCTATTAGCTGATTTTATATGATGAGATAGTTATCATGAGCTGACTTAATTACAATCAAAAAATGTTATATCTTTAGGTTTTGCATAGTCAACCCTGTGAAACTACAGTACAACTCTACTAGTTAATATGAATGAATTTTAAATCTTCGTAATGCATATAAAAATTTGATCTCCAGTACTGTTTAGACACACACAGACATCAAGAACCAGCATATGAATCTTAAATAAGTGTTCATGTCTAAAAGTCTGAACTAATACAGTTTTCTTTTTTTTTCAATATTGAAGCACTACGGTGGCATTTGTTTAGTGGGACTTTTTTTTTTTGCACAGTTCAGTAATATCTGAATGTCAGTCAATAAACCAAAGAGATGTTCATTCATCATGAGTTATAGGCAGAAAGTCTAAGCTCATCTGTTACGTCAAGGTTTGATTCAGCAAATGCACAAATGTTTGTTGTGAAACAACATTGCAATCGCTTAGAAGAAAATTACTTTGAATTAGTAAAAGGGTCAAGAGCCCAACTAAAGCAAACCTTGACCACAATTATGGTGGCATTGTGTGTTAGTTTTTTTTGTTTGTTTTTTCATCCAAGGCTGTGGCTGAAGTCAGATGTAGTTCTTGTGTTTCTCTTTTCTTCAATGATGTTGATTGTTAACAGCAGCTGTTTATCACTAATGCACAATCATCATTTAATTAGTCACTTAATTATCTCATTAACTTTAACTCTTTGAGGACTTGGGATATGACTTGAAGACTTGCTTGTGACTTGAAAGTCCCACCTCTGGTTGCTAGTGCATCACAATCTTAAACATGCCACTTACTGTTGCCAGCAGGTGGCGCTATGACTGCATACCTGAGTTACAGAAACTTCCTGTTTCATTGCATTAATAGCATGTGTTACACTTTGCTAAGTGTTGCTAACAAGCTTTAACAGGTTTCTAGCATTTTGCTAGCCTAACACGTGCTGACACTGTTGCTTGGTGTCCAATACAGTGTTAAACATGTCACTTCATGTTGCCAGCAAGTGGCGCTTTGACTATAACTGTATATGAGCATGGATATTTCTTCAGGACAAGACTCTTATCAAACGTGTGAAGTTTGGGGAAGATCTGACATTGGCTGCCTGATTTACAGCAACTTCCTCTTTCATGGCGAAACATTGAAGTTTATGAGGCTGCCACGCCCTTCAACAAAAACTCAAGATCTTTGAAAATTAGCATTGCAAAGGCCTTTAGATTACACTCAGCAAACTGGAAGATGATCCGATTAAACTGTAAAGGAGTTTGTTGAAGTATGCCTGAAATTGGCAAAAACTGCACAGAAAATTGCAGAGGAAATTTAAAATGGCTAACTTCTTTGCCTGTTGATTAAGGCTTCACTTCAAGAGACTTTTTTGTAGGTACTGGGACATGTGTGTACCAAACTTCGTACACGTACATGAAATGTAGCAGGAGGGGTGCTTCACATAAATGTTGTAGGTGGCACTATCGAGCCATTTTGCCACACATAATTCTGAAACCCATATCAGATGTAAATATTCAACAGTTCTGATGCATGTGCAAAGTTTCCTGAGTTTTCAAGCATGTTTAGGCTCTCAAAAATGGGATTTATTTCAGAGAAGAAGAAGAAGAAACAGAGCCATTTCAAGAGGGTCCCCAGATAGCAACATAGTGTCGGTCCAGATCCGGCCCACATCTGGCACATGTGGAATGATGATCTGGCCCACATGCAGCGTGGAATGATGGCACTTTTGGGCTGACTGCTCCTGTTTGCCAGATCTGGACCAAAAGCAGGCCATAGCAATGCCACATATCAGCCAAGAGCAAAGAAATAAACCACACTGGACCTTATCTGAGTCACAAAATCTTCATATATTATTTATAGAGTCCTCTCAGCTTGTCTAAGCTTGTTAACAAGCAAAATCACTGAAGGAAAGAAGAGAACAGAAAAAAAGAGACAAACAGAAACTCAAGATCTACGACTGACTGCAGCCACAGCCTTAGATTAATTCAGCTGAAGATAAAAGACATTAAATCTCTGAATATCTCAGCAGAGGAGGATTACACAACTCCACAAACAGCATTACCAGCTTCACTCATTACTAATCAGACAGTGATTCTGCTTGTTAATGGGCTTATTAAGGCTGAGATGACTCCATATTTAATATATGAAGATTGTGTGGCTCATATAATGATCCAGTGTGGTTTATTTCTCTGCTCTTGGCTGACATGTGGCATTGCTATGGCTTGCTTTTGGCCCATGTCTGGCAAACAGGAGTGGTCCGCACAAGTGCCATCATTCCACGCTACATGTGGCCAGATCATCATTCCACATGTGCCAGAAGTGGGCCGGATGTGGGCCGACAATATGTTGATATCTGGGGAATTATAGCACTTATCTGTGTTCTCCGACAGCAAAACACAGCAAAAACCTAAATGAGTGGATGCATGCCACCATGTTATATATCCACATGTATGGGAGAGTGGCTAGGCATGCAAAATCCACTTGCCAGTGTTCACTGGCCTGTTTTGTACTACTCAGAGGTGACTGGGGCTCCCAAAGGACACCCCTGACCTCAGTACCTACGTAACATCGAACGTGACTGGAAGAAATAATTATTAGGGGTCCTTGTTAAGATTATTAAATGAGTCTGAAAATTAAAATGAGTTAAAAGTGTTCTCTCCTACTGTGCCCATTGGTATATAAATAGCCCAGTTAATTTATTTCAGATTTGCCTTCTTGCAGTTATTTATTGCCTTATTGTCTTTTGATTTGCATTGTCTGCCAGAATGGACTGTCTGTTTGATTTTTGGAACTTTTAAATTATGCTTTTCTGTGATTTTTGAATTGAATAAACTGCTGTGAATGGACCAGCCTATTTCTTCTGGCATGTTTCATGAGCTCCTTGCAACATACTTACATATTTATAACATACATTGATATTTATAATATATGAAATGTAGCCAAGTTTACTAGGGGCAGCATTATACACTTAAGCGAAGAATATATGCAGTCTTTTGGTGCAAAGACTCAAACAGAACCAAAACACAATCATACACACATAGTCCACACATTACCTTGTCTCTGAAGCAGATGTGATTCCTCCCATCCACCTTACAGACCCGAGCAGATTTCAGCAGACGCTGGTGATCAAACCCGCTTGGGATTCCAAGATAATGACAGTCTCTGTACAAAAAGAGCATTTAAACTAATGCAATACGTGATGAAGCAATACATGAGCCACATTATTAGTTTATTTTCAACTGTAAAATCTAATTTAGCAAAGTTTGTGATTCTTGATTATTTCAGAGGCAGAACCCAAAATTGGTCACAGGACTTTTCACTGTACCAAATGAAATGACATTTTGACTATTGAAACTGTCAATGATTGTAAGTCCCAGAGAATAAGAAAACAATTCTAACATACTTTTAAAATACTACTTACCGAGACAAATAGTCCCATTTGTCCACATCAATGCCATTCAGTTTATTTGCCACAATCTCATACAGGAAGGATTTGTTTTCAGGTCTTCCCTTCGCTGTCCACTGCAAGTCAAGATGGAAAAAAAAAATCAACTTGAACAATGTATCCTGATAAAGACTGGAAGAAAAATCACATTCAACAGTTATTTACCTTACTATCTAAAGATTTGCGTCCCTGCATTAATTCCTCAATGAAGACAATGTCTTCTTCTAGATTCAGTCCATAGTCTTTCATCACTTCATCCAGTCCATTCTTCTTTCTCATGCAGTGAAACATCTGAACAGATGCCTCCTCGTGCTTCAGAAGATCAACAGTACAGTGAATGTTCACAGTCATACTAAACAAGGTTGTAGTTTTTCGAATTATAAGTTTATATTGACTTTTAAAAGGCAAAATCCAAATGAAAACATATAGTTATCTATTGCTAAATATTTGGTTCTATATATTATGTAGCTCACTGATTTTGAAATATACGTGTATTGGAAAATACAATTATATATTTATAAGAGAATTAATGATGCTTACCTGCCATTTGTTATCTGAGAAATGAAAAGAGATTTAGACATTATGTCACGCATGTTTTATAATCATCAATTCACAGATTGATGATATTTTTTTTATACCAAGCTAAAGAACACTTACACAAGGATGTGTGTAGCAGAGAAGATAGCCGTGCATTTTAATATGACTTTAAACCATTCAAGCACAAGAAGACTTGTGCACTGTTTTCTGTACTGCACAGATAGGGGCGTGGCCATCATTTCAGAAATGAAAATGAAATTCTAATTAGATGAGCAAAGCACTGAATAAACATTACAGTAAGCAGCTTTAGAAAGAAATATTTTGATTTAACATTGCATAGTGATAATAAATAGCTATTAATGTATGTTTTTTAATGACCACATTTGCAATTGTGCTGATTTCGGGAGAGAGCTTTTCACCTCAACGAGAAATATTGTCACATTTTAATATTACGTTAAATGTCATATCACATTTTAATACACCCCATTACTTACTAATATGCACAGCTCAGTAAAAACATTAAAATGAATGAACTGAGAAAACTCAGACAGTTACCAGGCCGGACATCAGGGATGAAAATGCCATCAAACAAATGAGAAAACGGACCATGACCTGAAAGGACCGAAAATGTAACATGAATTTACCATATTTGACAGCTGACGAAATCTGAATTTTCATTTGTGTCAACCGAGAAAAAAAATCTCTAATAACAATGATTAGACAGCAAATCAAAGGAAAGAGAAAAAAAAAAAAAACATTTACAGTTTACTATAAACACTTAAAATAAGTGTTATATCAGTGGTTATACAATTGTGAGCAGACTTGTTGAGTAACTAACTGTGAGTATTTTTTGGTGTTCTTTGTACTGCTTTCCTCTTTTTGCTGTTTTTCTACTAGTCTCTATACTTTCACTTTAGCAAGTGACATTCTGATTGGTTCCTTCTGTTATCAATTATCTGAGAGGGGTGGGTCCAGCGTGCTAATGTCTGGTGATTTGTGACCAGGTAGCCCAGGAGATTTTTAAAATATGAAACATTATCACATAAATGCCTCATTTAGTCTCCTGTTCATTTTTGACATGCTCTGTGATTTTGATCGTAGCTACGGTCTTAGTCAGTTTGTTACAAAGCGAATTGATTGTGTTCTTTTTGTCTTTATTTTGAGTAATGAGGCTTTTGTCAGTGTGTTACTTGGGAAATAACATTATTTTACCTTCTGTATTCCTGTTCATTGTTGAGTTATTGGAATTATTTTCATTATGTTTGGATGGAAGAAAAGGGATAGGCAAGAATCCCTTAGGAATGGTAAATCCTTAGGAAGTGTCGTGTCACACCTGCACTCTCATCACATGGACTTTCCCTTAGGCTGGCCACACACTAGACGATTTTCAAATCTTAAACGATTTTAAAACCATGGGAGACCACAGACATGAAGACAGTTCAACCGATTTTTAGCCTTATAATCCTCTGAACGCACACACTAGACGATTCGACCAGACCACGAGACCACACACTTGTCGATAGTAGGGACGATTTCACAGTGACACGAGATCTCACGGACACTCGCGAGATCAAACGTGACTAGAGAAGAAAAACAAATAGAGGACAATCAACGTTGTCAGCTGGCTCTCCAGGCGCGCGTTCTGTTTCACAGTGAAAAACAAAGTATAAAAAAGAATATGGGTGATGTATTCTGCTTTCGTGGCATGTTTGTGGCTGCCAAGTTTCAGATGTAGAAGCACGCAACATCCGGTAAGTGACGCTTGCTCGCTCTCATTGGCTATCGCAGGTATCACGTCAGAGGCAGCCCGATCAAGAGTCGTAAATATCAAACATGCTTAATATTTATTATTTGAGTTCGGGGACGCTCCGTCTTGATCTGGAGCAGATAAATAATCATAATGACACCACACAATAGAGGATTTCTTGGACGCTTGTGACAAGCCTTGAATTGGGCCACAGCCCCCGTTTGTTTGAGGGTGTAAATCAGGCTTAAAATCGGCCTTAAAATCCTCTAGTGTGCAGCCAGCCTTAGTTTGTCATGGTTGTTAATTGATTAGTCATTTAGTACAGCTGTGTTCACCTCGTTATGACCAGTATTTAAGTTGTCTCTGTTTCTCTTCAGTTTGTCCTGCCTCATCTATGTGTTGTGGATGTTAACCTGTGTTCCGATTGCCGGAGATGTTTATTAAGACTTTTGAACATTTGTTATCATCTTTGTTTTTGTGTTGCTATAAACCATGTCAGTATGAATACACTAGGTTAGGAGTAGGCGAGTAGGTGACACCCTCCATATTTTTGGTTTGGTAGTCAGTGTAGATTTGATTTGACAATTTAACTTTTTTTTTTTTTTGTATTATATTAAGGTTGGCTGTTTGTTTTGTTTATTTAAAAAAAATGCTAACCTTCTGTAGAATTCAACGACAAATGTTCATGCTACTCACCCAAGTCATAACACAGGGCAGCAATTTGGACACACAGGGAATCCTGTTTGGTAATGTTGAGCTCTGGTTGATTCTCATGCAGAGTCTTGACAAGACATTCTGCTAAATACGCCACACTAACACACACAAACAAAGAATATCCATTTATTTCAAGGAAAAAATCTCTATCCTTTATCGTCTAGGCAAGTGTTTACCATATCAAATGACCAATTACATGGACAGCCAGTTTTAGTTACATGTGTGTGAAAAGCACTGAAGTGTTCAGAAAATCAACAGTCTTGCACAATGCAGGCAAATCATCATATGCACACATTTCCTTCTCTTGATATGACACATCCCGAACATTTCCACATTTGACAAAGGGTTGTCAGCCCTGATCTGGGCTCTGATTGGCTAAATATCAGTTCATACAAAAGGCAATGTTCAGAAAGGCTTCATTAATTAGTTCTTAAGCTTGCATTACTTAATTACCTAATCAGCACAAGTCACGTACTATAATTACTGAATAAACACTAAGAAAGCTTCAGTATGATCTGATATAAATTTAGCAAGTGATACATATATCCTGTGTTTTTTTCCCCTCTCTTTTTTAGCTATTTTTATATTACAATTATCCTTAAAATTGCTTCACAATAAATTGAATAACTAAGGAGTAAAATTTACATTTACAAGTAAAATTCAGTGATTCTTTTTTTTCTTTGAGAAAAACCAAAAGATATAATGAGATGAAATAACATAATTTCAGGTCATGTATTGCTTTATTTAAAACCTTTAGATGTCAGATCAAATCAAACCTGTGAGATCAAGAATTACCCGATTGAGTGTGCGAAGCGAGTGTGAGTGGCACCAGGGTAAATAAGATATTTTGTTCCCAGTTGTTTGAGGTGACGGAGTCTCTGAAACTGAGGAGTGTCAATCATTTGCACCAGCAGAGGGTGCAGCTCAATGTGACCATAAATAGGGTCATTGAAGATCTACAAGACACAAAAGAGCAAATATTATTTATAAAATTTTTTATTGTTCTAGCCAGTCTGAACTAAGAATGTTTTGTCCATTCATATCACACATCTTATACATACAGTTGAAGACAAAATTATTAGCCCCCCTATGAAATTTCAGTTCGTTTTCAGATATTTCCCAAGTGATGTTTAACAGAGCAAGGGAATTTTAACACAGTATTTGTGTTAAATGCCACATATACGTGTTAAATATGCACAGCCATATCACCCTGCAGCCCAAGACTGGTTGCCCACTGAAGCTAAGCAGGGTTGAGCTGGTCAGTACCTGGACGGGAGACCTACTGGGAAAACTAGGTTGCTGTTGGAAGAGGTGTTAGTGAGGCCAGCAGGGGGTGCTCACCCTGTGGTCTGTGTGGGTCCTAACGCCCCAGTGTAGTGACGGGGACACTATACTGTCAACAAGCACCATCCTTTGGATGAGACGTTAAACTCAGGTCCTGAC